GTGACACCTTTCCTTTTCAATTTTCATTTCCGGCATAGTAGACCATATGATTGTCCAATTCAAAACGGCCAATACCATTATCAAACGATATCACTGATATCACATGCAAGTAAAATTTTGGAGAAGTTAATTCAAAAGTGTTGCCACAGTACACTGACAAGGAACTGCCAGAAATTCAAGCTGGATTCAGAAGAGGACATAGAACAGGGGATATCACTGCTGATGTCAGATGGATCTTGGCCAAAAGCAGAGAATACCAGAAAGATGTTTACCTGTGTTTTATTGACTGTGCAAAGGAATTCGACTGTGTGAACCATAGCAAATTATGTCCTGCTCTCAAATACATTTCCTTACCCATTCTTCTCACCTCAAAGCCTTCCTTCAGGGACACCTGAGTCCTCAAGTACAGTCAGTCATTGCCCCTGATGCAGGTTGCTTGAGTTTTCAGTCCACCAGGCCTAGGGATTTCTTTTAAGTAGAGGAAGCCACTGAAGATGGGCGTAAGAGGAAAGAAGAATAAAACATACAGTGGTTCCTAAGGTAAATAGTTCTTCAAAGACACAGGTATCTTGAGTGAGGCATCAATCTCTCCTTCAGTGACTCCAGAGCCAAGATAGCTTTTTTTGCCTTCAGCATCCTTGACTCTATCCAGCTAGGTGCTTTATTTGCACTGCACTTCTGTGCTTTAACTGCCCTACCCTGTCTGATCCCTCTTGACTAGTCCATTCCCTCAGGACCAGGCTTTGTCTCAACACAGCCTCCTGTGAGAATAAATTATGCCACTGCCATCGGAGCCACCTCTCCTGACCAGGGACAAGAGATGGTCATCCTCACTCCAAACTCTGAGAGTCCAGATTAGGCAGCAACTGGGAAGTGTTCCTTGAAATATCTGATGGAGAAAATAACAGAGTCAGTCCATAGAATACTGCAGAAGAAAACTTCTGTGCTCTGAATAGACAGACAGATACATCAGTTATTGACTATGGAAGTCTGTAAAATTTAATCAGAATCTTTAGACCATATTTTTGTAACTGTACAACAGGAATAATGAAACCCACCTTGTTGAGCTGCTGTAAGAAATGCAAAAATATGGATGCAAAGTATATATTTATTGCTTAAAAGTAGTGCTTATGATAAAACTCATAAATAATAAAGTGATACGGGATATATACATATATATATTTTATTATACAGTTAAACCATGATACTTAATACATTCAGCCACTCAACAGAAAGGTGGACATTCCATTACCTTCATCCAGCAACAAGTCCTAGTCAAACTGGTCTACAAATATGACTCCCTGGGACATCATTTCATCCTTAAAAGTACCTCTTTGCAATTATGAGCTGCTCTATTAAATGGAAAGGAATGCTAGTGGTGCAGTGGTTAAATGTTTGGCTGCTAACCACAAGGTTGGCAGTTCAAATCCACCAGCTGCTCAGCAGGAGATAGATGTGGCAGTCTGCTTCCAAAAAGATTACAGACTTGGAAACCCTATGGAGCAGTTCTAATTTTTCCTACAGGGTTGCTATGAGTCAGAATCAACTCAGTGGCAGTATGTGTGTGTGTGTGTGTGTGTGCACGCATGTGCACATGCGCATGTGTTTTGGTTATATTATATGAAAAGACAAAAGTTAATAGAATACAAAAAGTGTTACAACCCCATGTTGTCACTATCTAGCAAAGAAACAAATTTCCCAAAGAGTGCAATTGTAACAGACATCTTATGTATTCACTCTCAAATTACACAGATGGTAGATACGAGAGTTGGGATGGGACTGGCAAATCTCCTTTGCTTAAGATAAAATCCACCTCTCTGCTTGTGCTCCTTCTCCCCTGCTCTTCACCTTTCACTACAAGGAAATTCATCTCATTTATGTTATTGGTGTTATTTCCCAAGACCAATTCTTTTTTTTTTTTCCCATAACTTATAATTAATCGACATGTCTCTATTTGCAATGTAAAGTATCTCTCAGATCCATCATTTGGTTTCCACTCTTCAGTGCCAGATCGAGTCAAGTCATTTCCAATAAAATATCAATTCAGTGCATTTTTTAAACTCAAATAAGATACTAGTGAGAAATTTTGTGTTGGTTATTTATAGAATTAGAATTTGAATCAGGTAATTGACCTAATACATTTTAAAATTTTAACACAAATAACATAAGTAGCAAGAATTTGATCCTAGATGTATACAAAATGTGCTATTCTCACCTGAGCCAGGTGAGAGCCTCCAAGATCCCATCTGTCTGTCCTTATGCTCAAGGCCTATGGTAGAGAAGCCAGAGCAGCTAAGTCACTTCCATTCCAGTGCAAACAGTTAAGCACTTCACTACTAGCCAAAACGTTGACAGTTCAAACCCACTCAGAGGAACTTCAGAAAACAGGCCTCATGATCTATTTCTGAAAGGTGATAACTTTGAAAACCCTATGGAGTGGTTCTATTGTGCACACAGGGGGGTTGACATAAGTCAGAATTGACTCAACGGCAACCAACAACAAACAACAACAGGCTCACACATTGGGTCTGATCTTCCAATTAAGACTTACAGAATCAAAAAACATGGCTCCTCTTGTTGTTCCATTCATCTGCAAAAGGGTGTCCTTTAGAATTTTGTTGTGCTCTTCATTCGTGTCACAGATTTTTTGAGAACCAATTTTTTTCTAAAGCATAATCTGAGGTGAAAGTTAATGTTATGTGTTTATTATGGAGAGCCCTGAGAATAAGCATCTTATGCAAAAAGGGGATAGAAGCAGCATACATCAAGGGAAAAAAAAATGAGCTGTCAAGCAGGCCTGATGAGAGTCTTAGCCAACACCACAGGGAGTTCTGGAGATAAAATTCTTCAAATGAATCGTCCTGCATTGGACCAAAAGGCCTTTATACATTTATATCTCAGCTGTTGGATGGGAAATACCAGGATAGGCTTGATCTTGGTCATAACAGATTTCTGCAGGTAAGGTAATTCTTTAAGGGACACTCAGCTAAAGAATCTCTGCTGACAGCACTCTCAGCAGCTGAGGCAGCAATTCCTTTATGAAAGGGGGAGCTGGGTAGTGTATCTCTATGTTCATCATGACACATGTCAGAGCCCATTATCTTGTCAGGTAACATGAAATGGTTTGTCAAGTCTTAAGTTCCTCCTAGAGACTGGAGTATGTTACTAATGCATGCTCTTTTTCAACTTTTCGCTTTTACGTATGTTCCCTAATCTTCCTGAAATACCTTTCCCCATTGGTGTGTTAGCATATGTTTAGCAACCAGCTCTCTAAGAAATTTTTAAAAGCCTTAGTTTGTAGTGTTTGCTAATTTCTGTGGTGTAAATACTTCCATCATGGCCAATTTCAAAATACCAATGTGAACATGGAGCTGGAACAAAATATGCCCAGTCAGCTTTCATGATGCAGTAAAAGCCAGCTTCAGTACACTACTATCTTTCCCCCTCTGCCCAACTAGTAAGAATGAATGCGACCCATAAGGTACAAATAAGTGTCAATTACTTTAATCCTTGCTTCCTAAATCCTCATGTAAAATTGACTACCCTTAATATTGTACCATGTAACAATCTCAATTACACACCTGTTTACACTTACTTTTACTAATTTTTTACATATGTATCTCCATCTCTAAACATTAATTCTTAAACATGAAGACTGTGTATTTTATTTTTTATATAGCTATAGTATTGAATGCAATAACTTTACAATAGATGTTTCATATTTCTCAATATATTATTTTGATGAAACAATAGGTAATAACATTTGTGCTTGCAACTATTTTCTGAGTGCTCATAATTGTTGGGGGAGAGGAGCCCTGTAATGATGTGCTAGTGTAGCTGTCATGGCCTCTGCTTAAGAAGTTTGCAACTCAACTAAGAACAAAGTACATATGCAATGAAATAATAAAAATATCAACAATGAAAGCATGTGTGTACATCATCCTAGTGAAGAAGAGCAAAGTGATAGATTGGCAACAAAGAAGAAATTGAGAAAGACACAGTGACACGTGAGATCCACACAGGCATGTAGAACAGGAGAAGATATTATCAAAAGATGAGGGTGGAGTTTTGTGCACAACTCCCAACCCACTCATACAGTGAGAGCTGAAATCCTGTCCTCTAGCCTACACAATTGCCCGTATGTTTACAGATGCACTACTAGGATTGCTTGAGCAACAGCCATGTGTCCATCTCAGTATTTGCAAGGAAACTATGGGAGCTTATAGATGTACAGTAGCAATAGGATAAAGGACACATCTTTGCCCAGTGATGAGGTAAGGACTTAGTCCGCAGCCAACAGCCACAGTAATAATTCAAAGTCCTGCCAAAAATCCGAGTTCCAAACTTGCCCCAAGAAGTCAGAAATCTGGGCAGAAAAAGTTATGATATCATGACAGAAAAGTAAAACATGGATAAATTTATTCAAAACAGGAGAAAGAGATTGAGATTGATCTCTGGGTTTTAGACCATTAAAAATAGAAATTATGTACCTGTGGTTACATTTCACAAATAAGGTTATTATTAGCTTTAATAATAATAATTTAATAATGTTAACAAATTTGTGCCACTTTTTAGCTTAATCTCTTTTACTTGTATTGTCTCTTATAAGTCTCATAATGCTCTTGGGGACAGATAGAGTTATAATTATTATCACAATATGGCCAAGAATAACCTGACTCTCATAAAGGTTAAGGAAATTAAAATTGCATATCTAGGCTCAGTGGTTAAGAGCTGGGCTGCTAACCGAGAGGTCAGTGGTTTGAATCTACCAGCTGCTCCTTGGAAACCCTATGGGGCACTTCTACTCTGTCCTATAGGGGTTGCAATGAGTTTGAATCAACTCAACAGCAACAGGTTTTTTTTGTTGTTGTTTGTTTGTTTATCTAGGAAGTAGGAGAATTACGGATTATAACTAAATAAACTATCTTCAGATGTTTTAGTCTTTACTATACTAAAACAGTTGCCCCAGGTTTTTCAGTGGGAAAACTGGATGATCAAGGTTACCTAAAGCCTCCTCCTATCCCAAACTCACAGAGAATTCCTAGATGCATCTGCTTTGTCCTGACACTGTAGACAACAGGGTTGAGCACCGGGGGAAGAAGCAAGTAGAGGTCAGCCATGAGGACCTGAACTATGGGAGATAGATACTTCCCAAATTGATGGACCATTGATACTCCAATGACTGGCACAAAGAAGATGAGCACCACAAAGACATGAGATACACACGTGTTGAGTGCCTTTAGCTGCTCTTCATGAGCTCCAATGCCCAGAATAGCATTCAGAATCAGGACATAAGAAAGAAGTATGAAAACTGAATCCACACCCAGTGTGGTGATAACTACACATAATCCATAAATGTTATTGATCCTGGCATCTGAGCAGGATAATTTAAGAACATCCTGGTGCATGCAGAAGGCATGGGAGAGAACATTTATATGGCAGTAGTGATAATGTCTCAGTAGCAAAGGTGTAGGCAGTACAACTCCAATGCTCCACAGCAAGCAGGCCAAACCAATCTTGCCAATTACACTGTTGGTGAGGATGGTGGAATAGTGCAGTGGACAGCAGATAGCAACAAAACGGGCAAAGACCATAGCCAGCAGCACTGAGGACTCCAGAAGTGTGAAAGTGTGGATGAGGAAAAGCTGAGCATAGCAAACACTTGCCTGGATCTCCCGAGCATCTAACCATAACACAGCAAGCATGGTGGGAAGTGTGGACAGGGACATACCCAGGTCAGTTAGTGCCAGGATGGAAAGGAAGTAATACATGGGCTGGTGGAGTGAAGACTCTACCCAAATGACAGAGAGGATAGTAACATTACCAACAAATGCTACCAAGTACACAAGACAGAATGGAATTGAGAGCCAAGAATGAACATGCTCCAGTCCAGGAAAACCCTTCAGAACAAATATGGGCTCCATAGCATCACTACTATTCCAGACCTCCATAGTGATCTTGAGATGCCTTACAAATAGTGGCCTTGGGCAAACTGAGAGGCGTGTTCTCTGTTATCTTTTCTTATCCCACAAAGCTATCCCTTTTGAGTGGAGGCAGTGCAATCAGGGTAAGATACATTTCTCCTCATTCTCACAGTGGGAGGTAAGTAGGAGGTACTTCCTATAAATCTAATCTAAATAATGATTCCCAGTCGCAGAGAGCACCAAATTCTGGAACAAACATGTAGACCACACAAATTTGATCATCTCCGATAAGGACATTGTTGGGTTTGCATCAAAGACACTGAAAAATTTAAACAAGAAGAGAGTAGAGAAAGAAAACCTTTACTATATATTGTGAAGATGAAAACAGAAAAGTCAGAATAAATACCCAGTGATTTACACAAGCTTCCTGTAAGTAATATTCTTGGATTAATCATTTATTACCCCTAGGCTGCCTTCTCATGCATGTCAATTTGATTGGTCCCAAGGATTCAACATAATTTCCTTTCATATTTTTTTCTAATTTTTAACTTAATAATTTATAACATTTAACAATTTCAAATATTTAATACTTATTTATAAAAGATGAACACCCCATTATATGAAAAGAGGAAATGAAAAAGAGAAGAGAGATAAAGTCCATAAAAACCTAGCACACTTTTGCATTTTTTAGCTGTTTAGTACAGCAACTCAGCAACTCTTCCTTAACTTAAAATTCTCATGATGGGAATGGAGGTGTATATATATGTAGATATATATATGTATATATATAATCTGGGTTTAAGGACTTTTAAAATAAATCTTTAGGGAATAAATTCACAAAGTAACTATAAAATTCCTTCTAAGGATGGTTTCCTGTCTGAACTCTAACAACATAAAATGCAAACAACACATTTAGCACAGGTATCCATTACATATTATGTGTCTTAAAATTAGTAATAATTTTTGATTTCTATTCATCATTTCTTGTTTGATTTTTTTTCTTTCAACATAATGCTTACAATCATGTTTTTAAAAGAATAAAACCCATTACTGTTGAGTCGATTCTGACTCATAGCAACCCTACAGGACAGAGTAGGACTGCCCCATAGGGTTTTCAGGAAGCCACTGGCGGATTCGAACAGTCAACCTTTTGGTTAGCAGCCGAGCTCTTAACCACTGTGCCATCAGGCCTCTAGCTTTTTTTAAAAAAAGAATATTCAACCCAAATGTTAAATGCTTTCCCAATTTCCTGATTCATTTGTACCTACTCTGTGAATCCATAGCAATCCCACAAATATAGTCCCAAGCACTCACCATCAGTGTCTCTTGGACACAATTTAGTTCTTTCCTTCTGTTTCAAAATAGTTCTAAAGTCTGTCTTTGCTTCTTCATTGTGAACTCCTCTCCTCCAGTGCTTGATCTAACTCTCCTTCAGTGCTTGATATAAATATGCTCTTGTTTTACCTTAGGTTGACAGCATTCAGCACAGCAGCTAGGTTCTATGGAATTCTCTGCTCCTTCAATGTTCTGGTTCTTTATTTTATCCCTGTCTAACCCCATTGACTGTCCCTAAGAAAAATTTTCCCTTGCCTCTTCCATAAAAGTTTCAACTTCATAGCTTCAGAAATCTCTGCGGCAGTGTCTCAGCATTTCCCTAGTCCTACCTGGTAGACCTTTCGTCTCTGACCTCTTGAGAGTTTAACATTGGTTTTATGGGGCTGTCCACTCCCAGGCTGAACGGTGAACCTCGGAGGTGACTTCACCACTGAGCTAAAAGGGTGTCTGGGGGCCAAACTCTCAGGGTTTCTCCAGTATCCTTTAGGCCAGTAAATCTGGTCTTCTTTTTGTGAGTTATAATTTTGTTTTACATCCTTCTCCAGCTATGTCCAGAACACTCTGTTGTGAT